GAAAAAACCAAAAAAAATAATAAAAATAATAAAAATAATAAAAACAAAAACAAATAACAATATAGTTTTATTGAATAACAGCTATAAGAAAGGACCAAATTGCCCTTTTTGTCATCTATTCTTTTAATTGCACCAGATCATACACCATTAAAAAATGAAAAGAATACAAATTTTTTTAACAGAAAAGTATGATAAATAAATGAAAAGAATACAACTTTGTATAACATGCATAACGAAAGTACATTGTTATAATATGCAGTTTATGTTATAACATGTCATCTACCATTATAGTAAAAAGCTGAAAAATTAACTTTGTGTTATAACAATATTACACCAAAAAATTTTGATGGTATAATATGGTAAAAAGATATTCGGTAAAATCTTTAGGTTGGGTTCAACAAAAGTTTTATCCCACTCAATGAGTTTCCAGCAAGGGGTCCGCCCAATTATGCCTTTTGATTTCACCCATCAAATTATTATCCATTATTGGTGAATTCATAGACAGGTTATAGGCCCTACATGTAGTTCTTCCCAACAATGCAGTTCATCAAATTGCAGGTGTTGATTAAGAAGAAAGCGTGAATCAGGGCTCTTTTGTACTTGGCCAATAAAGAAGAAGGCTTTGCCTTCCAAGTGTATCTCTCCCAAACCATATTGCTTTTGACCTCTCCAAGACAATTCCAATATGCTAACTACATGTAAAGAAATTCTACAATCAAACACATCATTCCAGATTCTAATAATAATTTGCAACTATTGTTTTTTATAATAATCTAAGTATCAAGTCTATCCCATTAGACCAATCATAACTTGTCATAGGTTGCTATCTATGTTTTAGCCCCTTCAAATCGCAGCAATGAGACTCAAAAATAGAGATGAGGTCACATAGATACAAACAAGACAAAAACAGAGAGAGACCTTAAGAACAAGAAGCATACCTGAAATGGAGAGGCAACAAATGGTAAGTCTGAAAGGAAAGAAAAAAGAAAACACAACTTTCAGCATCCCAGTTATGGATATTCTCCAAATACAAACTGAACTATTGACTAATAGCAAGAAAACACAACTAAAAGTCTGAAAGGAAAGAAAGAACAACTTATAGATAATGCAATGGTGGAGGTGGTACCTGGTGCCGCTACTATGGTGGCTACACCACTGTAATTGGGGGCAGGTGTCACTATGATGTGGGCTATGGTGGTGTAGTGATACAAAAGCAGGAAGAGAAAAGCGATTTGCCAATGGCTGCGTGAAGAGATAGGAACATGATGCAACGAGACAATGATTGTGATTCTGTGAATATAGTGTCAATAATAATCGAATATATACATATCGATTGCAATCTATTGCTTCAATCCGGTTATGAAAAGTTATGGTTCTTGAAGGAGAGGTATGTGAAAAAGGTAGGAGGCGGGGTAACGGGGCATCTGGTGAAGGTGAGGGCGATGGGTGTCATGTAGGGTGAGTACGAGAAACATCAATCGTTGGTGAGGAAGGTGGAATCGGCCATCAGTATTCGCAAAGGGGCAAACGGGCATGGGAGGTAGTATATGGCTTCGATATTTAGAGACATGCAGGTTGCAATAAGGCGAGAAGTGGTGGCAGATGAGTCACAGAGAGGTGCTAGCAATCAGGAGATCGTATGGTGGAGATGTCGGCGACGAGTGATCTACATGGAGAGGCCGACGAGTGATCAATACAACAGTATTCTTGAGTTTCTTTTTATACATTGCAAGCTATGTCATTACAAAAGATTACTCAGGAAAAAGAAGTATAATCATAACTAAATCAAAACAAGTTATGCGAGACCAAAGGAACTATGAACTATTTAAATTGCATATGAATGAAGAGCACACCGAAATTATACACTACAAACTCAACAAAAGTTGTGCATAAACAAGTAAAAAGAGTAACCAGATATGTTAATCTTGCTCAAACGGTTACTTATTTTCCATCAAAAGTGAAAGTATACATAGAACTTGGTGATGGTGAGTTTAAGTAGAGCATAGCAATAGAACATTGACTCTAAAATTCAATTTCTTTTACATCTCCCTTTGTATTCGTAAACTACTATATGATATTTGGAATTCAATGTCGTCTCCCAATGATATGAAAGTATCTAAATAATAGAAAAGACACCCTTTGGCCACTACATTATTCCATTAGCCATAACGTAAATAACCAGATCAACAAACTTTGTAATTATATTTCTGAAAATGCCCCTGAACAACCACTCATCTGTTTTTTTTCGAACTTTTAGTTTTGAAGCTCTGATCCTGGGTGGATTCAACCCCATGTGAACCAGTCATGGCCACCCTCTTCATCACTAAAGGAATAACATTAAATCAAATAAACCCCCTCTAACATAATACAAAATGAAAAGAAAAAAAAGAACATACAAAAATTGTTGGTCTGAAATAGGGGACAACAGAAGAACTAAACAACTAATCTAAAAATTTAAAGGTACCGTGCCAAACATTTAGTCCTAGGTGGTGAAATTTGCATTAATATTTCAAGGAAATACCTTCAAAAGGCTGTCAATTAGTAGAAATATAAGATTTGTCGTTGCTTCTTGAAAATCTCGTTGTTGTAGGTATTTCCGGCGCCGATGTTGTTCTTTTTCCTCCTCCCCGATGTTGCAGCCCTATTCTCGTTAAACTCTTTATCTGTCTATCCCTCAATTTGTACTTCTCTATCCCTAATTTCCTTCTACATCAAAAACCTCAGAATCACCATTTCCATTGATATCAACGCATTCAAGTGAAGTCTCGAGATTACTCTCTTTCACCATAGAAGGAAACAAATTTATGCAATATCAATGCCTCTCAATCTCGTCTTCTTTTCAACCATGTTCTAAAGCGTGCACACACCGATGCAATGATACCATGAAGTCTCACAATTCTCTTATTCACATCACAATTGAAAAATACATTCGCTCATCTGCAGTTCCAAGCTACAAATTCTAACTGAAGATAAGGTTTTAGATTTTGAGTTTGGATTAGGTTTTGGCGGATTCCAAAATTTTTAGAAAATCGATCCAATTTCTTTGTTGGATACGAGGGAAAAAATATGATTTTTTTTTTATAAATTGAAGAGGCAATGAATTATAAATGAAAATTATTTTTTTTATAAAATTTTAAATAAAAAGCTTGTAATTTATATTCATTAATATTATTATTTATCGTTTTTAAAAATAATATATATGCTTTTAGTGCTATTATGATATTTAAATCTTATATATAGTTATTTATTACAATATTTTAATTGTATGAATATATATATATATATATATATATATATATATATATATATATATATATATATATATATATATATATGTGTGTGTGTGTGTGTGTGTGTAAACGAACCGACCGAAAAAAACGAGAGTTCTTCATGTTCGTTCCTTTAAATTAGCCGAACAAACGAACATGTTTGTTTATTCATGTTCGTTTAGGTAGACATGCCTAAGTGGATATAGGTGGATAGATGTAGGTGTGTATGTAGGTAGAGGTGGGTTTGGGTAGGTGTGGGTGAATATAAGGATTTTAGATATGGTAGAGTATATACATGGGTCTGTAGATATAGATGGGTGGTTGTGATAGTAGGGACGGGGCGAGGGTGAGGGTGAGGGTGTGGGTGGGGTGTATGGGGTAGGGATTATGTATTAGGTCTTAGGGCTTAGGGATTATGTATCGTAGTTAAAACACTATGGATTAAGGCTTATGGCTTATAACTTTTGACATATGACTTATCGCTTATGGTTTAGGGTATACAACCTACAAGGCTATAACTTATGGCTTATGCTTACAACTTATGACATACTACTTGGGGCTTAGGGTTGTACGACATAGGGTGTAAGGCTCATGGTTTATAAAATAAGGCTTATGGCTTATGTATTAAGTGATTGGGCTTTATGTCTCAAGGCATTAGGATTATTCCGGATGGTTTAACACCCACGTCTTAAGACTTAGCTCTTATAGCATGTGACTTACTACATATAACTTATCACTTATATATTTTGGTTTATGGCTTATATCTTTTGGTTTATCGCTTATAACCTATGACATATAGGTTATAGTTTATGTGTTGGGGTTTAGGGATTATGATTTAGGTCTTAAGGAATAATGCATATGGATTAAGACTTAAGCCCTAAGTTATTTGATAAAATTTTTAATATAAATTATAATAATAAAAAAACATTTTCATATATTACTTTATATATAAATATATAAATATCATTTTTTTAAAACCAATTTAAACGATCCGCCTCTTAATTTTACTTTCCCTAAAAACAATTTCACTATCCCCACGATAAAAAAAACATCATCAAACCTAAAATGGCGGTCCCCAAACTCCCCCTGTTCCACTCTTTCCGCCCAAATAGAAAGTTCTAATTTTCATATTCACACTAAGATTAAAAGTTATGTCGAACTATGGTTGATATTGTCAAGGTGTCGACACTCAAGATTGAATTCGTATTCTCTCAAAAACATAAAAAAGAACAAGACCATCTCGAGACTCACCCTTATGCCATTGACCATTATCTATCATCAGCCTCACCCTTCTTTGTCAAAAGACCCAGACCATCTAAAATTAAGTGTACTTTTTAAGGATGTGTTCGGTTCTGGACCCGACTGGAACCAAATTGAGAACCAAAGAACCAGACCAGGAACTAGACCACCTACACGATTTTGGTTCCGGTCCGGTTCTACAAGTAATATATATTTTTTCATTATTAAATTTAGGTTTCGACACCCTAATCATAATGGTAATAGAAATATACACGATGATTTAAAGTTATAAATAATAATAATAAAACTATGTTATAAAATTATATAAAAAAAAACATATAAATTAGTAGTTTGAAATTTTCATTTTTGGTATCCCCTCTTCTTTTGGTCCCAAAATTTTAAAATTAAACTCAAACTTTAATTCCTATTAGTCATATATATAATATAACTCAAACTCAATTCCTAAATTATTTTAAAAAACAATTGCCTGAAATGATTCCATCTAATCACGTCCTTATGGTTTCCCTACTCAAAAACCTAGTTTCAAACTTTCAATCGCCTCCTCCGATGAACAGCAGCCACCGTCACCAACGTTCCCCGCCTATTCTTCACCAACGTTTATACCTAATCAGCATGTGTATTTGTTGTGGGTAAAAGTCGGACCTAACTAGAGCTAGGTGGTACGTCGACGCCTTCCAGCCGGTGCTACGGTGCGTCGAACATCCGACGCCTTCTACTCCTCCCGGCATCCTCTGATATCGTCTACTCCATTGAAATACCTCCGACGTCAGACCTTGTCATTTGTGAAGGTTAGTTCTTCTTCCCTTCCAAAAGCATTTGATTAATTGATTTTAAAGAATATTAACCTGTTAACTGATTTTAGCCATTTAGGGAATGTGATTTAATCTGTCAAGAAGTTATTTGTTAAGTTGTTCAGCATTTTTAGTTTTAATGACATCTTATTGCCGTATCGTTTTCTTATAAGAGAAGTCAAGATCGCACTTCCACTTTCCCATGAAATTGCCAGTTAAGACATTAATATTTTTTTTTCTTTCTTGTCCCTACAGCTTGGTTCTTTCTATGCTGCATTGAAGGATTTCTTAGTAAAATAGATGCATTATGGTCTTCAAGATACCACCAATCAATGTGATACATGATTAGTTTCTACGCATCTTACTTGACTTCTTTGGGTAGCCTTTAATAGGTACTAATCTTTACCTCAAATTTCAAATGGAAGATAAAAAAAATGGAACCTTTGTTATTTGTTTACTTGTTACGGTTTGTTGTTTTGTCATCTTTGTGGAGATTGACCATGTCTAAACTAAATATGTTAAAAGAAAGGTTGTTAAAGATCTAAAATAAGGTGTAAGGGAAGCAGAAATATTGAGATGGAGAGAAATATATCTTATAATTATGCTTATTATATTCCAATTATGTTTTAAATCCTTAAATCTCTTCTTATAATGCTTTAATTTTTTTTGATTACCAAGAAGAGGAATGTTGAATGCTGTTTTTTACGTTAAGCAAGTCAAGGTCAGTACTCATTGATTCATATTATTTCATTACTATGCAAAAAGACGTAAACACCCTTTTACTAAGGGATCAGAATATAACATTTCTTTAAGTGTTTGGAGTTTTTAGGGTTTGTTTGAACTTGGTATGTTGCTTTTGATTACAAGAAGTTTAAGAAATAGGAAAAGTCGCGCATATGCTTTAAAAATTTTGTATTTGTTTTCACATGTGAATCTTGTTCATTCTTGTGTTTAATTACTTTTTTTCCGTTACAAGTCTTCTATGATCACCAAGAATGTGTGTTTTGTCTATTGCAAGTGTAGGAATAGCTATGACAAGAAAATTGACTAGAAGCTAGAATGATTGTGATGCATCTAGCAATAAGAAGAACAAAGAAGAACAATACTGATGATGTGGGACATTATTCCATTGGATAAAGTTTGAGAAAGAGGCGATGGCTCAAAGAAATTCAGATTTGCCTAAAACCCCACGTGGTTTGTTGATTATTTATAGGCAAAATAATTTTATTTGGAGAAGCAAGTAAGAAGTTGAATCCATCTTTGGGAAACATCTTTATTTTCATTAAGCAAATTAAATCTGAGATTATGTTTATCATTGCCATCTATGTCTTTATAAAGCTTATTTTGATGTTCATAATTGTTTATAATATTTATGTTTATATACTCTATCAGTGCAATACTTCTCTTCAGATGATTATAATCCAAGTGTTGGGGAACATAAATACATACTAAATGATTCTAGGAAGGCATTCAGGGAGCAAGTATGTTGGTGGTTCACTTTTCATTAGATCCCTCAAGTTGATTTTGTAAGTTTCTTCTTCATAATATAGTTTTATTGGATATTACAAATTCTCCAAATGATAATAATAAACCATTTGCTGCATATGGACTAGACATCACACCATTGCCAGTTAATATTCTATTTGTTTTTCATTTTTTTGGTTGAAATAAAAAATACAAATTATTGTTATCTATGTTTTTGACTTTTGTCTACCTTCATTTAAATGATGCATGGTTACGATTATATTTTATTCAAAAAGTAATATATTAGCATTTAGCAAATGTTATAGATACTACTGCTATGGCCAGATTGTTATTTTTTTAGGCTTGGAGAATTAAATATATGGTTTGTGTGTAATAGTATTATAACAGAAAATGTCCATGTGTAGTACATTGTTAGAAATTGTTCATGTTTCAAAAAAACTACTTAACAGTTCATAGTTGTTTCAATGTTTGACACCTACAACTTTTGTTGCTCCAGGTACCAAATCCACTATCCAAACAAGATAAAAACAATGAACTTCATATTTCAAGAAGCAAAAGAAAACCTTGGCAACAATGTATGACATCAAAAGCAAACAAAGACCATGATGAACAAGAAAAACCTTTGGAGATATAGTATTAGCTTATGTGTACAATCATTTCTCTTTTTTGAAACTTGTATACATATTTTTGATTAAAAATTTATGTCTTTAGTATTTGAATTGAAAACTTATGTATTGATTTTGTTTTATTAATGTTAATATCATTTTTCTTAGGTTTTATCATGTTTATTGTTATTTTTATTTTACAAATAAATGGAAATAACATGGATGTATTGTTTATTTATAACCATGGCTTTAAATAAACATTAGTCACACAACAATAAAAAAGAATTGCATGGCTTTACATAAATATTAGTCACACCATAATTACAAAATTTCATGTGGTTTTACATAAACATTAGTCATTTTGATATATTTTTCATGTGACTAAATGATGTCAAATATCATGTACAAAATAATTTAATGCGACTAAAGGTTAAACAATAACAATACTTAAAAACCATTTGTGTCTCTACAAAGCGTTTATGGCCACAATTATTCGACATAATACTTGATTACAATGACACTTTTGTGGTGTGGTGCATGTCAATTTTTGTACTAGTGAATCTATAATTTTAATAAAATGTGTGTCTTTATAATACTTATGATCATGTTTCACTTAATTGTGTATCTCTATAAGATAGACAATAGTCACAATAAAAGATTGTTTTTGTGACTAATTATTAGCAAATCGTCACTTGTGAAATTAATTACATGTGGACATTTAGTAAACATGGTCATGTTTGCGGTAATTGCATGTCTACAAAAGATACCCAATAGTCTTAACAAACTTTGAATTGTGTGGCAATTTATTAGCAAAACGCTACAGTGAAACAACATGTATGTCGCCAGTTGCTGATATACAATCACTAAAATTACTAAGAACATGTGTCTACTGACAGTTTATCGTCACAATATTGGATAAAATGATTGATTATAGCAATAAAATTCCCTACCCAATTGCCACACTTTTCTAATACGGCCACATGTTTTCATATCATACGGACACTACATTTTAAAGTGACCATAAGACCCATACGATGGCGTCACCTTCTGTCACACTTTCAGTGAAAAAATAAAACGTCACTATATGCATATGGTCACACTTTTATGGTGTGTCCGTAGATCATTTTTGTACTAGTGGAATGAGACTTTACAAATTCCAAAACTTGAGGGCAAGTTTTGAAACTCTTCAAAACTTTTGGATTCAATAACTTATGAGCTAATGCATTTTTATGAATGAGACTTTTCATTTTCCATAACTTGAGGATAAGTTATGGAATTCTTTAAAGGCATTTAGATCAATTTTAACCAATACAATTGTCATGTAATTTGTCATTGATCTAATGTAACTCATATGACAAGATAATATCAAATCAACAATTTACAAGTAATTAGCTTATCATATAAACTAACAATTATCTCAAAATTTTGACAATTATATTTTAATTAGATGAGGATAATTACTACCATATCAGACAAAAATGAATGTTGTGATATAAAACAGTTTGTGGTAATGATCCTAATCCAACTTAGGCCAAAAAACCAGAAAACCTGCCACCAGACAGTGCAACTCATCGAGCCAGCCTTTGGACTCGTCGAGTTCATCATCAACTCGTCGACTTCCTTAATAAACTCGTCGAGTTCAGTCTGGCAGAAACAGTTTTTCATTTTGCTTCAAGTTTAAACAATCAACCATGCATCAATATAATAGAAAACTAATCTGGCTCTGATAGCACTGATGGGTTTTGAGCACTAAACAACCTTATGGTGCACATACAACCCTAATGCTTTGGATCTAATTTTTCTCTAATTATACATGCAATATTGTTTTCCAAAGCATGAAGCCTAACTAGCATACAAAATTTGGTATATGAATCATAAAAAAACTAGTTAGAATAATATCTCTTGTTGTAGCTTGTTGTCTTTGGCCATTAAGAACTTAGCACCTCAAGTGTAATGCTTCAAATGGTTCACAAAACACCACCAACAATTGGAGAACTTGAGAGAGAGGTTAGGAACACCCTAAAATCGGCTATACTCTTGCTATAACACTTGTGTATACGATTTTGGGCTCTAAGGGGTTCATTATATAGTGTTAGAATTCCAAGAGTCATGTGTAACCCTAATTCTTACACTTAGGCTTGTAATGGACTAACACTTTATGGATCCTTACATAAGCTTAGCCCATCACTAATCAATCATGGATTATTAGCCCAATCTATATGTATCAGTGATTTACACAATCATCCCCTATATATTTAATTAGTCTCTTTTGATCACTAAATTAATTCCAAATTAATTCTTGATCAATACTAATTAAATAATATGATTCCTCAATTAATATATTATACTTATAATATATCAATAAATCATATATAACCTCTTTCTCAAATATCCATCCTATCAGATTGTTCTGGTGAATGCAAACCAAAATGGACCATGCTACTCCCGGGTCAAGTACATACCAATTATAGTTATGGGCTTAGACACCTAATTCAACACCTCATTCCCTTCATATTTTGGATTTGTTAGAGGTATAAAGTTCACATCTTGACCTTTGGTCTTCTTGTTTCAAGTTTGGGCTCACTTAGATGATTTTGGTCCCTTTCATGAATGCTCTTGGAGTTTGATGAATTCCATAACTTGTTGTGACTCTGAATTGGTCCTTAAGTTTCTGAGAATGAGAAAAGAGTCATGTTTGAAGCTATTTTGGGTCAATGATCAAGTTAGGGTCATAGTAAGGACTGAACGGATTTAGGCTTATAGATCTAACTTTGGCATGGAGTCCTAACAGATAAATTTGGAAAATTTATCCATTAAGTCAGTAAAAAGAACTAGATCTGAGGTTATGGGCCTTGATGTAAAGGAATTAAGCAATGAATGAAGATTTTCGCATTCTTCCAGAAGCTATGACGTGGCTTAGGGTTTGCCACGACATGACGGTGCTCAGAATCGTGACTGTTTTATCCTTGCTTTCTCACGATGTGGCGCATGGATTGTTGCGATGTGATGTTGACTTTAACTAGTTTGACCGTCGATTTTGTGGACCTTTGACCAGTTTGACTTATGGTAAAACTTCAAGGATTTGGGTTGCTGGTTGAGGATTTATCTATACAGGTGTTTATCGGTTCGATGGATTTATCTGTACAAGGGTTAGAGTGTTGTTGTGCTTCTCTGGTTCTATGATTTAGGTGAGTTTCTCAGTATGACACGTATCCCATTGTATATCCTTTACATGGTAGGATAGAGGTACAGTTAGAGTACAAACATGCTAGTGGCCTAAGGTAAGTTCTTGTTATGCCTTACAGTTTAGAACACTTGGTGCTTTGGTTTGATAGACTAGTAGGGTCTTGACTTATGATTGTATGATTCTTTTAAGAGTTATGTTGGGTTAAGACAAATGGGGTAGGCCAGTTATTAAGATTTTGTAGGAACGACCAGCGAAGGATTTGTTTGAGAAATGGATAATGACAGGGTAACTAGGGAAGGAAAGTTGTCAAGGGTAGGCAATATGCTAGTATATGTAATGATTTTATGTTACATGATTCTGTGTTAGTGATAGTTTGGGCTCTATGTAGTCTAAGTTAGATAGCCTGAGAACTATTGGTCTAAAACCTTATTGCAATGTTCTTGTCTGATTGTTTGCTCTCAAGTGGATCATCTGTTCAAGTGTCTATCTGACCCCTGATTGCATATAACCTTATGGATTGTATGAAAGACCATGATTTACCCCTGGCAGCATATACAAGACCAGGATGTGACTCTTTGTAGTGGAGTCCGAGCTGGGCCCGTTCACTCCTTCGGTAGGGCCCGTTATGTATGGTTAGGTGGGGCCCGTTATGTATGGATGGGTGGGGCCCGTTATATGAGTTGGGCTAGGGTCTTGAACCTTGGGCTGGGCGCGTTGCAAATGATGCATGTATATGGATAGGTGTTTTGTTTGCTTGACAGTAGAATCGAAAATTGTTGTGGATGCATTGTATGTATGGTGGAATATGGGGTATACTGAGGAACTCACTAAGCTTTATGCTTATAGTTGTGGATTAAACATTTTGTAGGTCTTTCCTGAGAAGAGCTCGGTGGGACTGTACACATGCATGGAAGATGTTCGTTTCCTTATTTTTGTAAATTTAACTATGATAATGTATGGTTTCAATCTATCAAATTTTACTCAATGGTTTTTGAAGCAAAGGTTTAATTATTTAATCTAGTTTGATGAAGAAAAATCTCTTTGAAATTCTTAGGACGTTAGAAGTTGGTATCAGAGCCTTGGTATGAGGGATTTGGGCGCGTCTTACGGTGTGTCTGAACTCCAACTAAGGATTAAGAGAGTTTCTAAATAAGTTTTTGAAAGAGAATGATTTTATTCAAGATAAGGATTTTCTAAAAAGATTTCATAACAAATGGAGGATGCGATGCGTACAGTCGGCCGAAGCTCAGGAAGTAAATAATTGCGAATATACCCATATGATCTTCGATTTGTGCTATAAATTGTTGTGCATGCTAGAATGCAAGCTATCGATCTTCTTAGGAATTGCTTGATAGAATTTCCTGACTTCTGTGATGTCTTATAGCTTAGAGAATTATTTGTTATGTGGTTCTTGAAGTCTAGATTGATAATGTTATTTTCTAGGGTTATGTTTTAGTGTTGTATACGATTTGGACTACATAGCCTTAGAATGATTGATTTATCTTTATTCCTTCTCCTTGTTTATTTGAGGGCATAGGGTAGAATCACTTATTTAACAGTCTATTTGATCATGTATTGTGTATGGAAACTGTATATTATGATGTATGAATTCCTATCTAATAAATGTCTAGATTTAGTACAAGATACCTTGTAACCTTTATTAACAACTATAGTAGTTATAATTATTTTATTTGTTAAAAGAGAATTGTAAAACCTTTTTTTGAAGTTTTCAAATATTGTAACATCCCATTTTCGCCTTACAGTATACACGACTAGTTACGTAAATAGACATCTAGATAGATGACTATTTAGAGTGTGCCCAAATATGACTTCATATGAGGAAGTTATGATTTTTAGAAGTTGTATCACGACAGTGTGTGACATATAAATCTAAATAGAAATCGGTTTATTGTTAGCCGAAACAATCTAAACGAGAG